TTCAATTGTCGTTAATATACATGAGGCGCATTCTTGAGCCCAAGTGTCATTTGAAGCCATTTAAATAATCACAGCGGGATGACAAAAGCTGAGATTCGTCTCGCCCTTTCGGTCATACTGACGACATAAAAGATACTCGCCATGTCAAGGGAGCAATACGACAATGCTCAATCCAGATCCTCCATCAATTCTTTAATCAGAGGCATAGGGTAGACCATATGTTGAGTTAAGTCTTTCACCAACCGATAGTAGATACATAGTCTGATGTCCACCCCATTCTTTTTGCTATAATCACAATTGGCATGTCTCATGGAGATGTAAAGGGCTGCATGATCTTCGCGGGTAACAGTCCCCTGGTCAGATCGGCTAGCTTTCTTTGAATTGAGGGGCCGCCTTCCATACACGTTGTGCAATCGACCTTACATTCCCCATATATGTGTCACATATAGCTCCTCGAGCGGCCGGTGGTAAGGCGTTACCTTTCCTCATTAATATATATCGCTTTTTTCCTATTATCCGTCGTAGCCGGTCCATGTCTTCGGGGGTTCTCTCATCCGGGTCAGGAATCTGTACATCCTTCAACGTAATACAGATTTACTCCGGAATAATTGCTCACCCTTGGTTTATTCTTCGGCCCGAGTTTTCACTTTCAAAAGTGCACAACTTGGTCATTTGAATGCGGTGAGTCATCCAATTTTGCTTCCTTCTCACGGGTATGGCCCCTGTAAGTTGAGTATCATCCGGTGCACTTCGTTCGTGAGGAGTCTCTTCCCGTAGGTGCTCCTTTTCTTCGTACATTTGTCCTTCTCTCTCGGGCAACTGTCGGTGTGACATGGTTGTCACTGAGACATGAACCCTTGGACCTCACGGGCTACCAATAAGCAGCGTCTCCACTAGAGAACGTGCAAAGATACAGCAATTAAAACGCTCATACCAGATTCAAACCCGGGATCGTCGTAATTTATCATCTTCTCGGCCTTCTCCGGAAACATTCCGGCGTGCTTGGTTGGGTGGTACCATTGACGAATCAAATTCTATAATTTCCTGCCTAGCACTTTGCGTTTCTGGGCTTGGAACGGTCCACTTCACATAGCCATCTATTAAGCGCGAGACACTTTGGGCTCTCGCTGCTAACACGAGCGTCGAGTATGACCGATTTAGACCCTGTGGCAACCGCTCATGGATAGATGAGGTAAATATGAGCTGTGACTTCCTACTTTGAGATTTCAAGCGTAAGGAGACAAAAAGTGCTTCGAAGAAATGCAGAGTCATGAGGAAAAGCAACGGGCACATGGGTCCTTGGATGGTAGATCATGATCCTTCCTCCGTATACCTCGGTACCTCAGCGCCGACTATGGTCCCTCAAGACAGACATTGGTATCTCAAGGTCGATCATGGTCTTTCAGTACCAAGCAACTCCTGCCTAATCAATATCAGCAACCAATTGTTATAAGGCGAGGACTGAGTAAATGAGTTACAAGATTAGCCTATATTAAATAATACCTAAATTTTGATCTACAAGGCACGACTCTGTCACGTTTATAAGGAGCTTACTAAGTCGCTTGCCTGTTCCGGAAAGGTATACGCTTTGCGCCCCCTGCCAAAGACAGCCGTTTGGTAAGACTCAAGTGCAAAGAGAACCCAGAAAATGTTTGTCCTGTAGGTTCATCTCGAGTCGTCCATAGGTTTGGACTGTCGCGTCAAAGACGCTATAGCTGATAGCCAAGATGTTCAGAAGTAACAAGAAGCTGCTAAAAGGCAGAAAGAATGAACATGAGCTTGAATTGTAATATGTTGTTTTGAAACGCTTGGAATTTACCTACACGTGCAGTGTCAGAGGCAAAAAAGACTTTAAAACGGCCGATACAGCGTAGTCGTTTACGACTACGCTGTATCGGCTCTTTTAAGGTTAAAAAATTATAAGAAAGCACCAAAGTGTATCCGGGTGCTACAAGCGCGCCTACATGTCAACTCGAGAAGAAATGTATACAAAAGAATGTTCAAACGCTGTAAAGCGACCGTAAATTGTCGGGTCTTAGAGAGATCCTGACGATAAATGTCATGAGTGTTTACTGGGTCGTTTGCCTCCACGAGCTCTGCTCGATAAGAAAGTCAACATTAGATTGACGTTGAGTGCCTTCTGGCACGAAATAGTCACGACAGTCATACCTAGTATTTGCTGAAGTGTCGAGTTTATCCCTGTTTGTATGAACTGTGGAAGCTTGAGATACGTCTTCGGAAACATAGGCCTGACGTCGTTGACGCTTCTAGCACTAAGTGCTGTGGAAGCAAGATAAGATGTTGAGCTTCGTCTCTGATTTTTCTTGAAAACAGTCTATGGTGACTCGTTCGGGGAGAGGTGTCAGCAACTACTGCACATCCCCCTTAAGACTTATACTCAAGCAGGCACTCCTTAAGTTAATTCTTAAAGGGGGATGCCAATCGACCTTTCGCTGTTATACTTTGGAATAGAAAGCACAAGTAACGTTTAAACCGAGCGTCTTGTCCATACAAGCTATAGCGTGAATCGTGTAGCCTATTAAGCTTACAAGCACGTTCCCCCTAAACGGGTGCGCTAGTGACCATCTTGAAGAGATGTCTCACCTGGTGCTTACACCACTGGCACGGTATCCATGCCCTGTGACTGATTTCCAGTCTTTTCTCAGACAGTTTGTCTTAATCTCCGAAGGAGTAAGGGATCACTCGCGGAGCGCATTGCGAATCCCTCAAGCAGTGCGGTTGAGCTCAATGAGGTTGGCGCTGAGTGACTGAGGTGCAGCTTGGAGAGATTTCTCACTCGAGTCACGAGCAACAAACCTATGGTCATGATGTGAAAGCGTGTGTTAGGCGGTCAAAGTCGGGTCTGGACTGAATGTTAGCCTGACGACGCTGGACAGCGTCAAAAGATTTACACCTCTTTATCATCTTCCTCACACAAAATGTGGTGGTGATTGGCACAGAGCAGTCAAACTCAAATACTCGGGGAAGGTAGCACAGGCAGAGAGACTAGTGTTCCTCGCTCGGCGATCGTGCGTGTCACGAACCAAAGGAGGCTCGGCGTCGCTGACTGATAGATCACTTTAGTGTTATCTTCTCCGAATGCGTCAAGGCGTGTTGCCTTACTCATGGCATGGGAGCGCGACTGTTTGGTTTGCAGAATTAAAGCTTCTAACGCATCTTCCTTTGTCATGCGCAAGGCGCAAGTGTTTAAAACACAAAATGTCTCTATGATCAAGTGTTGGGAGCACGTAGGAGCTTAATCAGCAAGTGTTGTGTATTTATGTGATATAAGAGCATAGTTAACAGTGAAGTCTTTAAAATTGTCACTGTAAGCTCGAAGAATTATGGGCACACCGGTTCCACAGATTGGTTGAGGAGAAAGTGACAAAATTACACAAAGATGTGTCTTATACATTCGCATCTGCCAATCCATTTTAGTGTAGCTGTACCTTGGGTATGTGGTGAAGCGTACTAAAAAAATCGAAGCCCAAGGACCAATTGACCTTGGTACTTCGTCATTTACCTCGGTTCTTTGGTCGACCTCGGTCCTGGTGGTCAACCTTGGTCCTTTGTCAATATACCTCGGTCTTTCAGTCGACGGACTCTCGGCCCTGGTCCCTGAGGTCGGCCTCGGTCCAGAGGTCATCTACCTTCGCCAATCAGAATTAAGAATCAGGTCTCAGGATATACACCGAGTAAAGAAGTTAATAAAATAGGACTATATTAATACTACTTACTTTGCAATCTACGTAGCACGCCTCCATCGTGCTCACCAGGAACTTAATTAAGTCTGCCCACCTGTTCCGAGAGGGATATATTTTTGCCCCCCCCCGTCAAAGACAGTCATTTGGTAAGACCAAGTGTGAATAGGTTCCCAGGATATGTTTGGTCTGTGGGTTCGTCTGGGTAGCCCCCCCCAATCGGCCCGGCATCAGAAGCGGTTTCCCTACCCTAGTGGTTCGGGAGCAAGTAAAGGCCAGGCGGTTAACACCTCTGAGATAATAAGGAAAAGGCTAGGGTTGAGAATCTTACCTGAAGAATTTGGCTATCAGGTCACCTCGACCTAGTCGACCGAGTGACCACCTACTAGCCTACCGAGTGAAGCATATCCACTCGAGGCACCCCAAGGTCGACCTCTCTCAAGGCCGACATCGCATCTTAACCAAGTCCTCCGAAGAGTGCGACCCACCAGCCGACGGGTAACAAGGTGAGAGAAGATCTATATGCGGCACCGGGGTACCCCCACCGACAGTTGGCAGTCCGACAATATGAGTGGCTTGAGGTCTCATTACGCAGTTTTGAGAACCCACTCCACCACAGGTACATTGGGTACAAGAAGGTTAATGTATTTTTACCAAGGCTTCAATGGTCTATATCGTAGAGGGAGCCACGTTAACCATATTCCTTGGCTTAGTACAATGAATACATCTGTTTGCATATTTAGAGGATACAGAGCCAATCAAATAGTGAATAGCAGTAAGTATAGAGCTGGTGTCTGTATGATAGCATCTACACATGCGTTCAATCTGTTTGAAGTGAAGATTTGTGTTCGGTGAAAGTGGCTGGAGATTTACGTCTAATTTTGTTCAACCTCGACATCGCAAGCGATCCTGAATAGTCACGAGTAGGCCGAATCTTATATCTTTTTCTGCAAGATACAAACATTTTGGGAAAAAATGAAAAGCTAAGTCATAATTTAAGGTTGTGTAAATTAGCTAAAAGCTATAAACCGTTAAAGCAAAGTAAAAGTGCATTTATTTCTGTAAAAGCAGCTTTTGCGAAAGATAAAATGTCAAAGCACGCTTATCAAAATTGGTAAAACCGAGTTATCAAAGCCGCTTTTACGTGCCTATTTTCTTATTATAAAGAACAATGTGACCAGATGAAATCGGACTGGCAACTTAGTAATCGACTAGCTCAGTTGTACGCCACAAATTGCCTCATATGAAGTAGCATAAACAACTCTTTCACTGCTTGAACTTCACATCAAAAAGAAGATCATGAGCAGCGTTCCCGCCCCTCTTCGCTGGGGTTTCCTTGGTTGTGGTCGTATTTCGGCAGACTTTGTCAGTGCTGCAAAATCCCTTGATAACGTCGTGTTTCAAGCTTGCGCCGCTCGTTCCTTGTCGAGCGCCGAAGCTTTTGCCAAAGAGCATGAAATTATCAACGCGTACGACTCCTACGACACTCTCGTCTCAGACGCTCAAGTGGACGTCGTATACATTGGCACTCTCCACCCGTGGCATTATGAACACACGATGTTAGCCTTAACCCATGGAAAACACGTTCTGGTCGAGAAACCAATGGCTATGAATGTGACCCAAGCTTCCGCTGCCATTACTCTTGCCCGAGAGAAGAAGCTTTTTCTTATGGAAGGAATGTGGACGAGATTCTTCCCTGCAATTCGCCATGTTCGGCAGCTTCTGGCTGACAAGGAGATCGGAGATGTGCATCATGTACACGCAGCATTCGGTGTTCACTTTGATGCCGATAATACTCGAATGTGGCATAATGAGCTTGGAGGAGGAGGTCTTTTAGACATTGGAATTTATCCTCTAGCTTTTGCAGTGATGGTGTTTGGTGCCAAACCAGAGAAGATTACGTCAGCAGGAAAGCTCAATGATGGTGGAGTGGACGTTTACAACTCTGTCACGCTCGAGTACACCAACTCTCGTTTCGCTACCATCGAGTACACGATGTTGGCCACGCTAGATGAGACTGTCACTATTACTGGAAGTAAAGGATGCATCCATCTTCCTGCCTCGGCTCATACAGCCACAGAAGTACAAGTGGTAAAGTTCCAGGACGATGGCTCGCAAACGAAAACAAAGTCATGTTTCCCATGGCCGACGCCTGTTCGTGGTGCCAATTTTAACTATAGCGGCTCAGAGGGATTTCGCTACGAGGCGGAGGCTGTTGTCAAGGCTATTCAGAGCAAACAGCATGAGATAAAGGAGTATTCGTTGGACGAATCTCTACAGATTATGACCATCATGGACAAGATCCGCAAGGATATGGGTCTCGTTTATCTTGCGGACAAAAAGTAAGATTAACACCACTTCTGTCGTGAGCTCAACGCTACGTGGCTAGTTGACATTCACTTTCGGTATCGTTGCTGTTAGCCAAATGCTGTCAGCATGCCGATTACAAACTTTACAAAGCTCTGAAATCTAACAGAGTCGTCAATTACGAATAAAATTAGCGCCCGTTTGTGCATCCATCTTCCAACAATAATGTTGACATATGATCAACAACACATAATGGACGTTTTGTATTTGATAGAGGTCAAGTCCTAATTTCCATAAGTTGACATTTTATAAAAGCAGAGCAGCTTTCATCTCATTTTAGGTGCGTTCAGTTTAATGGATGCGCTCGGTATTACCGGTTTTTTGCAAAAACCGTCGAATCAGCTAGAACAACTGGCTCCATAGCTTTGTCACGACAAAAAAACCTTTGTTCAATATCTAATAAAGCGGTTTTTTCTATTCTGCTTTTTAAATGCAACATTTATGACACAGTGCGCAACATTTCTGCGTACAACATTCATCGGAGTTTCCTAACGGTATTAATACTCAAATACACAATCTCTGTTAGAGGTGATGGGAATTAAAGTAGTGACATGTTATGATTAATGCTATCTTGTAGCCAATGGTCGCGTTGAAGTGAAGAATAAAATCTGTTTGAGTATTTTGGCACCATCCAGAGGAGTGGCAGCCAGCGTGGGGTGTTCGGCTCAATGTAGAGACATTAATCTGCTTTATGCCTACGAAAGGAGGTGGTGCGATTGGTGCATTGGACTTTGATGTTGACGGGAGAAAGCGACTGGCGAAATTGGTATGCGTGAAATTCTCAAAGAGATTCATGCAGTCAGTCAACTACCAAGTGTGAGACTTGTGGACAGGTGACAGATTTGATTCCAGAGCTGGAAGTGGAGAATGAAACGAAACGTCGAAGTATAAGGAACAGATTGCTCAATTCCACATGCTCAGTTTGGAAAATGCCCAACCTTCTAGTCCAGCAAAAGACGAAAAGGAAGCTGTGAACGCCACTGCTGAGGATGTAGAACAAACCTCAGAGGAGGCTTAGACGACTCGTTGGGATCCTGAATCTGCTTCCATTCCTATTCTATCACAATTTGCAGCGGTGTTTTCTTTGGAGTGTTGTCGTAAGACATGACCTCTAGTACATCCTTAGCGATTTTGCCCGATATAGTACCGTCCTGAACAAGATCCATGAAAGCGCCAAGCTCCATGGCTTGCACTGGGCAGCTGAAAATGTCGCTGTTGGATGCTTTCAAGTGTCTAAACAAATCGTTCAACACCCATCCACTACCATATTTGACGGTCGAGTGTCTTGTGTCGCAATTGACTCGAAGAAGTGTGCTGCACCAGGCTCGTTCACCAACATTGAGCTTTTGTATGGTGTAAGATCGTGGGTTCTGGCATTCTGTTACGGATCTTCTCAATGAGTTCGTAAAAACAAGCGGAGGTAGGTCTGGCTCGGGAAAGAATCGATAGTCCGTTGCTCCCTCCTTTGACCGCATACGTTTCTGCACCAGAAAGTGAACCCAACAAACAACAGCTCAGTTAGTCCCACAGACAGATAAAGGCGTATATACCCTTTGTTTAGTCTTACAGTTTCTCCAGTAGCAGCATCAAAAGAACGTGTCTCGCGATGCGCCTCTCCATTTTCTTTCTCTGTGAGCGCAATCTGCCATCTTGCTTCGTACTCTACTGCAAGCATCATATTGCGAATGCTGTCATATTCTTCGCCTCCACTTTTTCGCCAAAAGGAGCCGCAGTGCTGGATGTCAACGCTTGGTGAAGAGTCTCCGCATCCGCGTTCTCTCTTTAATATGCCGGCCGCACACTCACATTCAAGTCACAACGCATTGATCCTTCCTCCATATTGCCATCACACACATCCAAATGACGCAACAAATGCTGCAGTTGGCGCATGACTTGGCCTACTTCCAACGGACTTCGAAGATCCGGTTCCATTACGACTCCCAACAGTGCCGTACCAGCACGGTTCAGGTCCACGACCGTATTGTTCTCTTCTCTAGATCATGATTACTTTTTTGCCTACAATCAGCGCATGATAAAGCAATACAAGTGATGAAGAACCAATCTCGTCTTACACCAGACACAATCTTGCTACCACAAACTCAAACCTGAATCCTGCTCAAGCTGAATCCAAGTAATCCGTACACTTCGCTGTATCACTCCCTACGTAATCCACGCAACATTCAAACAGCAATCAAGCCCTTATCCGCTACTTGCATCATTCTATCATCTTTTCTTCCGCACCTCCATATGCTTTTTCTTCGTCGCCTTCTTCATCTTCCACTTATGCCTCGTTCTTCTCTTTCCTTGATTTATACTTTGAGGCATTGAACGTCGGCTCGTCATTGTTCCAAGCATTTTCATGTTCGCTCACAAGTGCAGACGTTGGCAAATCAAAATACAACGTTCCTCCAGACGCCACTGGTGCTCGCTGTTGTGTCAACGGATAACCCAATGGTAGATCGCAATAGAAATAGTGTTTGCGCTCAAATAAAGAGCGTAAATGAACTATAGCATCCAATGCTAAGCCCGTGCAAATTGCTTGATGCACACACTCACGATCGATCAGCTACATTAGCGTCCGCAAGACGCTAATGTAGCTGTTGAAGCTCCACTCATGAGCTTCGAGCGGCTCAAAATCTGCCATGTACCTCCAAACCAATGCAAACCTCCCATAGATTACCACTTGCACTACGTAGGAGCTGTAGTAATGACTGACTCGTCACTGGAGCTATCATGACAAAAAGACGATGAAGAAAAGAGGTATCAAAAACATTTTGATTGGCTATGATGACATTTGGTGTGTAATTATCTCTGATAAATTAGAAATAACGATTAAGTAGCTGTCAATCACTTATTACATGGCTATTGATGATGAGCTTTCTCTTGAATACTGATCAAACTTAATATGAGCTACTTTTGGCAGTTTTATCAGACGTGACAGCATCGTACGGCTCCAACTCAGCAAGATCTTGGACGATCTTCTCGGTTGCCAACGCTGGGTTTTCAAACACAAGCAAGTGCGAACTGCCTTCCATTGGTTCTCGCATTGTATAAATGTGCGGCAGGTTTTGCTGGAGGGATTCAAACTGGTCACGAAACCACATTTTCGAGCGACTTCCCCAATGGAAAGTAATGGGACATGTTGGTTGCTGTAGCTCGTGCTCAGTCAGCCATAATGGTCTTTGACAGTATAGAGAAGCCTCGATAGTGGGATGACACGCCAGAGTGACAGTCCCGTTGTCTGCTTCTACAAGACCTCCACACAAATATCCAGCAAGTGTTTCACGATCCCACTTGGCAAAGTTCTTCAAGTTGTAAAAGTGCTCTTCAGCTGCAGCACGAGAAGACCATGATGCGTCTCTTTGGAGCGTAAGAGAGACCATAAAGTCAATGATAAAGTCTGTCTCCGTCGAATTTCGAGCAAGAACAGGTTCAAATAGAATGAGACCTCCGAAGGTGCCAGGATTCGCTACTTCTGTAGCCCATAGGCCTGCTGAACCCATGGAATGGCCGATCCCGATGAGTTTATGTTGCATCTTTCCTTCACTGTCTTCATCTTTGATCTTCTCCTTCCACGCTGCTACTTGTTCTTGCACTGCACCAGCCACCCACCCAACGAGATCGTGTTTCGAATTCCATACCCGCGGTGCTTTTGGGTTGCTAAGGTCTACTTCAAAGGACTGCACCGCTGCCCTGTCGTGCTTGTCACCATGATACGGGAAGTTGAACGTGGCAAAATCTGTCGGAACGGCTTGTAGAATCTGCGATTCTTTTAGACGACGAATAATAGGATTCCACGTATCCTTGCAAAATGCACCGCCGTGAGCAAACAACAATGTCACCTTTGTATTGTCAGCCATATTGATCCTTAATGACAGTGTTAAATTAGAAAATGAGCGACGATAAAAACTCCCGACGCTAGCACTCAATTGTATGAGATGATGTATCATGCCTTGTAATCGTTGACGTCAGCTGCAGTGTTTCAATGATGCGTCTATTGGGAGAAGAAGATGGCTCGAGATCCGGTGGCGGTGATTACTGTTTGTGCATAGAACTGCTTCGGCAAAGACAGCTAGAGACTATTTTTCTGCATGAAGGCCACACCGCTGCAACTAAATTGACTTGTATCGCATTGAACTTTCGATTAATGCATTCACCTAAGAAATACGCAAGATAGTTCTAACAAGCTGTTATTTGATCAGTTCTTGCTTTGACTGCCACTCTATTACATCTGTTAAGTGTAATAGCACTTCACCGTTGCATCTCGGAGGCAGAAGAATCTTCAATTTGAACTTGCCAAAGAACCTTCTTCGAACGCTTGTGTAAAAAGTCTCGTTGAATGACAAATTGTGTCTTTTTCCGCTGAATGTTTGAGAGCAACCAACAACCAGAAACTACTTTTTCTGCTCTAAATTGTGTCGAGTCGGTTACACAAAGGTGTACATACGTGCCACACCATTGTGGTGTGGCTGTACTTTGGGTACATTGATGTAGGCAGAGAGACACATGGTCATTATACTTAGTTTAAGTATCATGAATACACATGTTTGCATATTAGAAGCCTACAGAGCCAAATATGTAATGACTAGCACTAGGTATGGAGCAAGTGCTTCTATTTTTAGTGCTAGAAGATAAACATTATATAAAGCAGTTGTAAACATGCTCTGTATAGCATTCGTTCTAGAGCATTAGTCCTTATACAAAGAGAATTAATATCGTTGATATTGGTCTCTTGGTGTGGTCATTTATAACCAAAAAGACATAAGTTGTAAAGCTAGCGTTGAGGGGATAAGAACCCTAAGACACACAGCTCTTGGAGCTAGTATTCCTCTGCGCTTAGCGCATAAGTAGCTTTGCTACAGTAGCTCAGCTACACCTGGTAGCACTTGTTGTCAATTTCGCACCTGGTTTGCGACTACTTCTGTGTGAGAATGGACATCGAAGAGATGTCAGCGGTTGGCCTGTTACAGGCACAACAGGAAGGGCTGCAGAAGCTGCTCCCTATCCTTGGTCCTAAGGGCGTGGAGTACCTTATCGCACAGGGCAAAGAGGTTAACAAGCGTATTCCTATGATTGATGAGTATAGTAAAGCTGTAGTTGAGCATGTAAAGGCACAGATGCCTTCTTCTGCGCCTACGCCCATGGCGACTATGGCGCAAGAAGTGGTCCACAGACCAAAACCCATACAAATGGAAGTCGATAAGTTCGACGCCAAAGAAGGTGATAACCTCATGCTTTGTTTCTGAAAGGTTCAGTCGGCTATGTTTATAGCCGACATCACCGATGAACCGTGCCGTGTGGGCTTTGCCACGGGCAGTTGGGTGGTTTAGCCAAACAGTGGGTATTCACATGTAGTGCATCACTGCAAGATGATTTTCCAACATGGGGCGATCTGAAAGTTCAGATGACCTGGTAATATGCACCGCCAAACCAAGCGCACCGTAACCGGTCGCGGTTTTTGGTGTGTAGCTAAGGCAAGCGTGATATTGCGGCATATGTGCAAGAGTTGAGAACTCCTATTGTTGCCATGGTCATAGACCTATGCATGAGGCAGTGACCGTCACGGTCTTTATGAAGGACCTCCGAGTTGGCGTTGCCAGAACGGATGTCTTCCAGGTAAACTCGTCCTCATTCGAGGAAGCTGTTGGAGTGGTATGTAATGCCGAGACCAACTTAAGGCCGCTAGGCCTGCCACTTATAACAACTCGTCTGATGGGTCTGTTTCCACGGACTGTAGTCAAGTGGACGATGAAGAAGCCGATATTCATGCTTCGGAGCAGCAAAGTGTGCGCAGATGTTATATCTGCAAGAGAACAGGCCATTTGATGGCAAAAGGCCCTGCAAGAAAAGCATATTTGGCCTCGAAAGGCCGACGCCCCTTGGGTAAACCCTCTGGTTTGCCGCGGGGAAACGTCGAAGCCCAGTAGGCTCGGGACGCCCTAATGGGTAGATCTGAGTTCTGTTGAACCTCTAGGAGGTAGAAGTAAACAGGGCTCAGCCTTAAAGAGATCCGAACTCTCAAAAACGGAACGAGAATGCAAGCCAGGCTTGCTAGTCGTCGAAGGGGCGATCAAGGGCTATGATAAGCCATGGATCACTTTGATCGATTCGGGGGCATCGGGCAATTATGTGCGCCGTGTCACCGTGGAAGGTAGTCAGCAGTATGCTGAAGCGCTTGGAGCGCAGGAGAGTGACACAGTCACAATTCGCTTAGCGACGGGTACGCGTGTTACGGTACCCAAAGTCCCGATGGACTTAAATGTAAAGTTCTTGGATTTTAACAGCATGGACCGCTGTTTAGTCTTAGACCTGGATGCGAGGTATGACTACATCCTAGACGGGCATGCCTAAAGCGCCATGAGCCATGGATTGATAGGAGGTCGAAGGCCTTAGGAGTACTCGACTTGCTGATGCATCCGTGCTACACCTCTTGCTGTAGTATGTGCTGTGTATACTTGCTAAAGGCATGTGCTTTTTCACGCTTTGTACAGCGATTTTGCTGTATATCTTTATCATTGTTAATATATCGATCACAGCACACTACTGACGTCGATGGACAATGCAAGACATTGTGGTAAAGTGCCATCAAAGAGCCCAAGGACCGGGGACCCGGAGAGAAAGCGGACCACAGAGGAGAAGCAGCCGTTGGATGGTGAACTACGGTTTCTCAAGGTAAACTTCTGTCCCTCATCGGTAGACCTGGTCTCTCAAGGTCGACCATAGCCCCTCATCGCAAGACATCGGTTTCTTAAGGTATCTCAAGGTCGGCCAGGTCTTTTATCAATATAACCCGGTCTCTTAAGATATAACTCGGTCCCTCAGCACCATCGTAGACCGCAAACTTTCAAGGTAGACCTCGGTCTCTCAAGGTCGACCATGGTCTCTCAGGACCAAGCTTCTACAAGGGCAAGACATCGCACGATGACTGATATGAAAATAGAGTCGGTCAGCCTATATGAGTACGATCCAGATGACATTGAAATAGAAGGACCTATGGTGATGATGGCCAATGCCACACTGGTACAGGCACTTAACGTGGTTCCTCGCACTACGCTCTCGCAACCTCAGATCTGAAAGGGATTTATGAAAAAGTCCAAGATTGGACCGAGCACGCTGCTGGTTGACTACTGTGAAGACCGCATTCACGAAGGACCAAGCGCCATATGGAGGAAAGTGTTTCGTTATGCAGGACTGTTGTCCGAACGAGCCCAGACTTGGTACCGCCAGCTAGGTCGCTCTGCTTGTTGAAATTGAAGGGACCTACTACAAGACTTTCCAGATGCAGTTTTGCGGTTTGAAAATACCAGTGGCCCGCCAATATATTATGCGAAGAAGAGGTCGCACGAATTCCCGTTGGACTTCGATACCATCTGAATGTTATTGGACTCATGGCGAAGGTTAAGTCAAAGACGGGCCACCCAAGGTTCAAATGAAGCATGTTAAGCATTATATTGAAACCCTTGATGATCCAGAACTGGCACCGTGCGCCGCTCAAAACGCGAGATGTGCCCATTGTGGATCCAGGAAACATGGAGACGTAGGATGTTGGAAGCGAATGGTCGGTGATCTTTGTGGTAAGAAGTGTCACCCATCAGATCGTTGCTTGATTGTGTGCCGAGACTGTAAAGAAATGAACGAAGTTATGAAGTTCCAGATAGAAGAGCTCTACAACTTTATTCGTCAATGGTACAACCCAACCAAGCACGCCGCGATGTTGCCGGAGAAGATAGTAAATTAGGACGTTCGCCAGGTTTGAATCTGGTACAAGTCAAGCGTTCTTATTGTAGTATCTTTGCATATGTGGAAAAGCAGCCGAAGGAAGAGAGAGGTACACAAGTTGACAAAATATCGAAAAAATCAAGTTTGGAAATTGCTCTTTGTTCCATGTTATTTTATCTAAATGCACCTAATGATTTTGCACGGTAAATGCAGTGATGGAGTTACCTATTGCCGGTCGAATCCAAGAGATGTTGTAAATGTCATGCTCCCGCTAAGTGCTTTAGGAAGGCAAAGATCTCTGGAATGTCAACAATGATTGCGCAAACTGATTTTTTGATACAGGAATATCTCATTTGATCGTAAGGTAAGGCTGCCAAATCGACGAGAGTAAAGGACAAGAATGTATTGGTGTTAGGGAATCCATATATACCACGGAATGAAGCACTCGCATAAAGGTTACACAAAATGAGAACTTGTTGTATATTTATGAAATGTGGGTAGGTCTAATGTTGGACCAAGACGTAATCTTGGGGATAAATTTCATAGTCCCAGCCGGTATCCATAACACCTGGTAAATGGAACAATCTGTATCCTCGATGAAGTTCAAGTACAATTATCAGGTTGGAGGAAGATATGTCATAATCGAGTGTCAGACGTGAATTTGAGTCGATATGCACAGATACCGGATGAAGGATACGTGGGGATACCCCTAAATAAGCCGACTTTGGAACAACGGAAACTGTGTGTGTCACGAGAGAAGAACGGTGAGTTGAGACCATGAACCAAGTGGTAGGACGTTGAAAGTTCTTAGAGGTGACCATTGAAAGCTCCCACTCCCTAAATTTCACGAAGACACTAAAAAGGCAAACAGACATATAATTGATAACGGATCAAGTACCAAGAGTACGAGGCTTCGTCTCGGTGGGCTGAGTAGCTGAATCTGGCGTATGAATCTACTACTGACAAGGTCGTCCATCAGGTTGACCCAACGGAGGAGAACGAAGGGCCATTAGTGGAGACACCACAGTACGACATCCCATCAGGTGTACTACAGCGGCCAAGTGTACCCGCTCCAAACATGTAACTACGACGATATTAGACAAACTAAGAACAATCGTGTGAAGAAAAAGAGCACCTACGG